AAACAAATAACAAACAAATATACCAAAACATAAATAAAACAAAATACACAAAACACACAAACAAAAAAATCTCACATAAAATAAACAAACACAAAAAATCAAAGAAAACAGCACATAAAACAGGGAGAAAGAGAGAAAAGGAGAGAAAGAAAGAACAAGAGAAAGAGAAAGAGAGAAAGAGAGAGAAAGAAAGAGTAAGAAAAAGAAAGAGATAGAGAGAGAGAAAAAAAAAACATGTCCGCCGGTCACTCAACGGGAGAGGAACGCGCACCTTCTCTCCGCCTCGATTATTCTCGTTTATCGGCCTTTCTCTCTCATTCCCTTCCTTTTATCGAGGAGAAACTAAGAAGTAGAGAGGTAATGCTTCATTTGGTTGGTTTTAAGAACAAAAACTATTGGTATTTTGTCTTATTTTTTGTATATTTTTTCTTTTTCTTGGAGGTTAATTAAAAAAAAAAATGAAGTTCTAATTTATTCTATGATATGAATTATTCAAATTATACATATATAAGCATCTTCTGGCATTTGTATTTTATTTATGAAAGTGTTTCTTGAATATATACGTTATTAGTGAAAAAAAATATATATTCATGTATTTAGAAAAGAAAATATTACGCCATTTTTTTCATGATTAATATTTTGTTGATGTAGGAAATTATTCGTAAATATTAAAAACAAAACAAAACAAGATATGTCCAAAATTGAAAACATATTACCATAATTTACATTAAAAAAATGAGTTATGAATTAATAAGTTCAATGAAATAAATATATGAATAAGTTTAATGAAATGATTCATATATACGGTATACAGAGTACATAGGCCTACATGCAGACTTATGCATCCGATGTCATTAATCGTTATGATCCATTAATCTGTAATTGCTTACATATTTACTTGTATATATACATACATATGCACAGAAAAGGGCTCTCACACACGTGCACATGCATGCTTTCACACACACACACACACACACACACACACACACACACACACACACACACACACACACACACACACACACACACACACACACACACACACACATATATACCCACGCCCTTTCTTTCAACCAAACCCTCCTTCAGACGAGGACCGACGATGGAAACTTCGTCGCCCTCAGCTCCTCCGACCGTCCCCGGCTGCCGCACGCCCGCCGCCCACACGACGCCCGCGATGGACACTTGCCCCGCCCTCGCCCACACTCCGGCCGCCCGCACGACGCCCACACCCAACACGCCCGGGCACACGACGCCCACGATGCGTTTTCCTACCACGCCCGCCCGCCATCTAGGCCTACCGCCCTACGCCACCCCCGCCCACCCTACGCCCGGTCACGGCACGCCCGCCCACGCGCTCCCATTCCCTCCAGGACGCCCACAGAGCGCGCCCTCATTCACGGACAGGCCACCCTCCTGCGTCTTCAGGAGCGGGGGAACCAACAACCTAAACGCGACAGGGATGGGCGTGGCAGGCGTGGGCGTGGCAGGCATGGGCGTAGCAGGCATGGGCATGGGCGTGGCAGGCATGGGCGTGGCAAGCAGGTCCGGTGGGTCCAGCTCGAGCTCCCTGATGGGCGTGGGCGCGGTGGAGGTGCAAGGTGGGCTGGGTGGGCGTCTCGCTAGGGTGCTGAGGAGCGTCCCGGCCTCCGCCCTGAGTGGGGGGCAGTGGGCGCGGCGGGGCACGAGGTGGGTGGCTGTGCTTGGGCGTAAGTGATTGAGTGCGAGTGATTGAATGTGTGAGTGTGAATGATTAAATGAGGGAATGGGTGAGAGTGAGTGATTGAGTGAGTGAGTGTGAGGGACTGAGTGCGAGTGATTGAATGAGTGAATGTGAGTGAGTGAGTGAATGTGAGTGAGTGAGTGATTGAGTGCGAGTGATTGAGTGCGAGTGATTGAGTGCAAGTGGGTGAGTGTTTGAGTGCGAGTGAGTGAGTGATTGAGTGCGAGTGATTGAGTGAGTGAGTGTGAGTGAATGTGTGTGAGTGCGTGATTGAATATAAGTGAATGAACGAGTGAGTGAATGAGTAAGCGTGAGCAATTGCGTGTGAGTGTTGAGTAAATGAGCGAGTGAGTGAATGAGTAAGCGTGAGCAATTGCGTGTGAGTGTTGAGTGAACGAGTTTGAGCAAATGTGAGTGACTGACTGAAAGAGTTTAGGTGAATAAACGGGAGTGAGTGAATGTGAATGTGTCGTTACAAATGTGTGAGCAGCTGGCCCTTTGCTGATAAGGAGAAAAGCACAACCTTTGTGTCTGCATGAGTGGATATGTATAAAAATTGGAAGCGTTTATGAATGTGAGCGTGTTGGTGGTGTGGATGTGTCTGTGTGTAAGTATGATGGTATGGCAAGTGTGTGTGTGTGTATGTGTTGTGAATATTTGTGTATTTAGTGAAGTAGGTGTAGTGAATATTTTTATATGAGTCGTTCTGAAAATAATGTTGTCTTTTTTTGATTTCTGACTTTGTGCATGCCAATGTATTTCCTTTCCACGCCAAGTAAACAAACAAACAAATTAAAAAAATAAATGTTATAAAAATTGACCTGAAACATTTCTCGAAATAATAGGACTGGTTTTGTAACTTAGCCGATACGTTTTGCCTCGTGAAAATTGATCTGTTTCCTTCCTGTCTTCCTCCAGCTCGTCCTCCAACACGCCCGGTCCCTCCACCTCGCACTCCACCTACTTCCACACCTCATCCTCCACCCTCCTGGACTCCTTGAGGAAACCAGGCCAGTCGGGAGAGAGAAATGTCGACTCTATGACCACAGGGAATAGAGCTCGGAATAGCTCAACGCTCGCCTTGCCGCCTCCACAACCCCGCGTCGGAAGCGCGACCCTCGCCCTAACGCCGGGGGACAATAAGGACGACGGTCGGCTGGAGGTTTTCGGAGGACCACGTGGTCTGCCGAGGTTTGTGTTGCTTCATTTTTTTTTCTTTCCTCTTCTTCTCCTTCCTTTCTGAGTCACACGAACGGGACGGCGAGAGGCATTAGGCGGGGCCGCGCCAGGCTTACCCTCACACACATACATTTTTTGAACTCATTTGGTTTTATTGTAATTTGATTGCGATCCTCTCTGCGGGCGCATGTCGGCGACTAATGTTATGGCCTGGTGTGATTTATGTACAAACTGATTTGGCCAAGAAAATAAAAAAATCATGCAGATCTTGATCGATGAGTCATCAGCGGAGCCAATGACGCGAATCTTCCCTCGACGAGAAACGAGATCTGTCCAAGCATTCAGCGAAAATAAATAAACAAATAAATGAATAAAAATAAACGGAAAACCACAACTTCATCATCATCCTTTCCCTTGTGGAAGGTCAGGGCGAGAGAAAGAGAAAGAGAGGAAGAGAAGGAGGAGGAGGAGGAGGAGGAGGAGGAGGAGAGAAGCGCGGGCAAAATACACGCGGCTGGTTGCAGGTGCCGCGTTGCCATAACTGGGCGTGTGATTCGTTGATTAGCTTGATCTGGGCAATCATTATTCTGCGTGGTTACTCTCCTCTGCTCTTCTTCTTCTTACGCGGGGATTATTTCTTCTCCATTGTTTCAGTTCTTTTTTTTCTGTCTCGATGTTATTATGATCGTTATTGAGTCGTTATTTGATGAGGCGTGTGTGTTTTTGTTTCGAGTCCAGGGTTATCCGTTAACGCGTTATGTGAAGACGAGAGACTTTCAAAAACAGGTTCCATTAACTCTTCAGTTCAACACTCGCAACACCGAAGTGAATATAGGCCTATTCATACTCGTCACTGACCCCTTTTTTTCTATCCATGCCTTTCTCTCCTCTTTCATCCTCGCTACACCCCTACCCCCCTTTGATTCCTCTCCCTCTCCCCCTACAGGAAGAGACGCGCCCCAGGGCAATCCCCGGCGGCTCATGGCAGGAGATCCTCGTCCTCCTTCTCTGCCTCCTCCTCCTCCTCCCTCGGGATGCCCCAGCCCGAAGGAGGCGCTCGGGAGGACCTGTGGGGGAACGCCGAGGGGGACATGGCGGAGGTTCAGGATCATTCTGCTGACGATTTTGTACTAGCCGATACGTTTTGCCTCGTGAAAATTGATCTGTTTTCCTCCTGTCCTTCCTCCAGCGCGTCCTCCAACACTCCGGTCCCATCCCTCGCACATTACCCACCTACTTCACACCTCATCCTCCACCTCCGTGGCTCTTGAGGAAACCAGGCCATCGGCAGAGAAAATGTCGACTCTATGACCCACAGGTGATAGAGCTCGAATAGCTCAACGCTCGCCTTGCCGCCTCACAACTCCCGCGTCGGAAGCGCGACCCTCGCCCTAACGCCGGGGGACAATAAGGACGACGGTCGGCTGGAGGTTTTCGGAGGACCACGTGGTCTGCCGAGGTTTGTGTTGCTTCATTTTTTTTTCTTTCCTCTTCTTCTCCTTCCTTTCTGAGTCACACGAACGGGACGGCGAGAGGCATTAGGCGGGGCCGCGCCAGGCTTACCCTCACACACATACATTTTTTGAACTCATTTGGTTTTATTGTAATTTGATTGCGATCCTCTCGGCGGGCGCATGTCGGCGACTAATGTTATGGCCTGGTGTGATTTATGTACAAACTGATTTGGCCAAGAAAATAAAAAAATCATGCAGATCTTGATCGATGAGTCATCAGCGGAGCCAATGACGCGAATCTTCCCTCGACGAGAAACGAGATCTGTCCAAGCATTCAGCGAAAATAAATAAACAAATAAATGAATAAAAATAAACGGAAAACCACAACTTCATCATCATCCTTTCCCTTGTGGAAGGTCAGGACGAGAGAAAGAGAAAGAGAGGAAGAGAAGGAGGAGGAGGAGGAGGAGGAGGAGGAGAGAAGCGCGGGCAAAATACACGCGGCTGGTTGCAGGTGCCGCGTTGCCATAACTGGGCGTGTGATTCGTTGATTAGCTTGATCTGGGCAATCATTATTCTGCGTGGTTACTCTCCTCTGCTCTTCTTCTTACGCGGGGATTTCTTCTCCTTTGTTTCAGTTCTTTTATTTTGTCTCTGTTTGTTATTATTATCGTTATTGAGTCGTTATTTGATGAGGCGTGTGTGTGTTTGTTTCGAGTCCAGGGTTTACCGTCAACGCGTTATGTGAAGACGAGAGACTTTCAAAAACAGGTTCCATTAACTCTTCAGTTCAACACTCGCAACACCGAAGTGTTTATAGGCCTATTCATACTCGTCACTGACCCCTTTTTTTCTATCCATGCCTTTCTCTCCTCTTTCATCCTCGCTACCCCCCTACCCCCCTTTGATTCCTCTCCCTCTCCCCCTACAGGAAGAGACGCGCCCCAGGGCAATCCCCGGCGGCTCATGGCAGGAGATCCTCGTCCTCCTTCTCTGCCTCCTCCTCCTCCTCCCCCTCCCTCGGGATGGGCCAGACCGAAGGAGGCGCTCGGGAGGACCTGTGGGGGAACGCCGAGGGGGACATGGCGGAGGTTCAGGATCATTCTGCCGACGAAGAGGCCGATCAGGTGTGTGTGTGTGTGCGAGCTCCTGCAGGTGCCGACGGAGGAAGGACTCGCTTTTTGTTAAACATTTTTTTATTGTATTTTAGTTGTTTCCTTTTTTCAGATTTTTTATTGTATTTTATTTACGTTTACTCTTCTTGTTTATACACTTTTATTGTAATTTAGTGATCTTTACTTTATTTGCTTATTTGCTTTTACCCAACTGACGATAAATAAATAAACTAGCGGGGAATTTCACGCACACAAAAGAGGAGGAATCCCCACCTTGATGCGTGAAGACCTGAGGACGGCTCGGGGTAGAAGGGGGTTGGATGGGGTGGGGGGGAGGAGAGGTCGATGTGAAGTACCAGGGAAATCCTTATCAGTAGTAAACAGAACCATTTTCAATTTGTATCATGTTTTATTGAACAGTCTGTACGATAATTTTGTAACATTTCTCCAGGAATCTGACTATTATCATTAGAAAACTGTACGTCTTTTAACTCCCTATAATGTGCCCCAAAGATTAGAATTCTCTAAGCATGAAAAAAAAACACATAACCATGGGCACTAAGCAGCCTACATCACCCGCAGGTTGTCATGAGCATGTCATGGAGTCAAGGCAAGCTGGGAGCTGCCTTCTACCACATCAACACATCGCAGGTGAAGTGCTCTTGTGTTGTCTTGTAATGGTCCCTTTTTTTCCTTTTTCGATGGTATTATTGGGTATAATTTCCGTTGATGGAAGTCAGAAATATGAAAGAATATAGCTATCAGCTATATGTGTGTATCAGCTTATCTGTACATGCATTCAACGTGTTACATTTGAACTATACACCGTATATAATACATTATGTATACATACATACATACGTACATACATATATACATACATACATACATACATACATACATACATACATACATACATACATACATACATACATACATACATACATACATACATACATACATACATACAAACAAACACACACACACACATATATATGTGTGTATGTGTGAACTATACACCGTATATAATACATTATGTATACATACATACATACGTACATATATACATACATACATACATACATACATATATACATACATACATACATACATACATACATACATACATACATACATACATACATACATACATACATACATACATACATACATACATACAAACACACACACACACACATATATATGTGTGTATGTGTGTGTGTGTGTGTGTAACCAACAAATCTATGCGTATATGAAAGCGAAATGCCATCATAGGCACTAAAATATATCCTCGACGCAATAGGCTCCGTGACACTTGTGACACTTGTGACACTTGTGACACCTCAAAACCAGCTTTCATCGCGTCTGTAAATAATGTTAATGAAATCCTTCCTCAGGTGTACATGGTGGAGGACAAAATTGAAGCCGCGCCGGACTTCTGGGTTCTGAGGCATCTCTTTCGGGAACAGCGACCGAGGTGAGAGGGGGGGGGGGTGTTTTGCAGAGTGAGGAGAGGTTTTGAGGTCCCTCTTTGATCACGAGCCTTTTCTTCCTCCTCCTCCTTCTCCTTTTTCTTTCTCTTTCTCTTTCTCTTCCTTATCATCATCTTCATCTTCATCTTCATCTCCATCTCCATCTCCATCTCCATTTCCATCTTCATCTTCATCTTCATTTTCATCTTCATCTTCATCTCCATCTTCATCTTTATTTTCATCTTCATCTTCCTCTTCATCATCATCTTCATTTTCATCTTCATCTTTATTTTCATCTTCATCTTCATCTTCATCTTCATCATCATCTTCATCTTCATCTTCATTTTCATTTTCATCTTCATCTCCATTTCCCTCTTCATCTTCATCTTCATCTCCATGTCCCTCTTCATCTTCATCTTCATTTTCATCTTCATCTCCATTTCCATCTTCATCTTCATCTTCATCTCCATCTCCATCTCCATCTCCATTTCCATCTTCATCTTCATCTTCATTTTCATCTTCATCTTCATCTCCATCTTCATCTTTATTTTCATCTTCATCTTCATCTTCATCATCATCTTCATTTTCATCTTCATCTTTATTTTCATCTTCATCTTCATCATCATCTTCATCTTCATCTTCATCTTCATCTTCATCTCCATTTCCATCTTCATCTTCATCTTCATCTTCATCTCCATGTCCCTCTTCATCTTCATCTTCATTTTCATCTTCATCTCCATATCCATCTTCATCTTCATCTTCATCTCCATTTCCATCTTCATCTTCATCTTCATCTCCATTTCCATCTTCATCTTCATCTTCATTTTCATCTTCATCTTCATCTTCATCTCCATCTCCATCTTCATCTTCATCTCCATTTCCATCTTCATCTTCATCTTCATCTTATTTTCATCTTCATCTTCATCTTCATCTTTATCTTCATCTCCATTTCCATCTTCATCTTCATCTTTATTTTCATCTTCATCTTCATCTTCATCTTCATCTCCATCTCCATCTCCATCTCCATCTCCATCTCCATCTTCATCTTCATCTTCATCTTCATCTCCATCTTCATCTTCGTCTTCATCTTCATCTCCATCTCCATCTTCATCTTCATCTTCATCTTTATTTTCATCTTCATCTTCATCATCATCTTCATCTCCATCTCCATCTCCATCTCCATCTCCATCTCCATCTCCATCTCCATCTTCATCTTCATCTTCATCTTCATCTCCATCTCCATCTCCATCTCCATCTTCATCTTCATCTTCATCTTCATCTCCATCTCCATCTCCATCTTCATCTTCATCTTCATCTCCATCTCCATCTCCATCTTCATCTTCATCTTCATCTTCATCTCCATCTCCATCTTCATCTTCATCTTCATCTTTATTTTCATCTTCATCTTCATCATCATCTTCATCTCCATCTCCATCTCCATCTCCATCTTCATCTCCATCTTCATCTTCATCTTCATCTTCATCTCCATCTCCATCTTCATCTTCATCTTCATCTTTATTTTCATCTTCATCTTCATCATCATCTTCATCTTCATCTCCATCTCCATCTCCATCTCCATCTTCATCTCCATCTCCATCTCCATCTCCATCTCCATCTCCATCTCCATCTCCATCTCCATGTTCATGTTCATCTTCATGTTCATGTTCATCTTCATCATCATCACCACCAGCACCATCCACCACCACCACAATCTCCACCATCGCCTCCACTATCATCATCATCAGTAATAATTTTTTATGCATCCGGAAGGCGAGATGCGTCGATATATATAGCTTATTTGATTTCATAACATCTCATGGTAGATTACTTTCTGTATAATCAATTTCATGGCCGCGAGAGAGTGGAGCTAGATATTCCCCCCTCCCCCCTTCCCCCCCTCTCCCTCTCCCTCTTTGATAATGTCGGCAGATGAATCATCTCGCTGTTCATATTGTTCAGCTGTTCA